GCTCTTTGTTAGCGATGGATCGCATAGAGTCGGACCATAGTCCATTGCTGATCAAATGGGGTGAAAGTCAGAGGGTTCACCGTCCTTGGAAGTTTGAGAATATGTGGCTAGAGGATGGCAGGTTCTATTCGGCCTTGGTTGAGTGGTTAAACACACAGATTCAGGGACGAGGAATGGTTTTCAGGTGGGTTCGAAGGTTGCAGGATCTCAAGAAGAAAATCAAGGTCTGGAACAAGGAAGTTTTTGGGGACATGAACAAGAAGCTTGAGGAGCTTATTGCTGAGAATCGGGATATTAATCATAGGGAGGAAGATAGGATGTTGACGGCTGAGGAGGTGAGGAAGAGAGAGTGCATTCTGGTCGAGATTGGGCAGGTTCTGGATCTTCTGGAGATTTCGTGGAGACAAAAGTCACGAGAATTGTGGTTAAGCAAAGGGGACAGGAATTCTGGTTTTTTCCACAGGGTGGCAAACTACAGAAGGAAAGTTAATCGCATTGACAGCATTACAATCAATGGTTTGTTAACCGAGGGCAGGGAGGAGGTAGCCATGGGAGTAGTTGAGTTCTACAAAGGCTTGTTTCGTGAAGACCTAAAGCAGCGTCCTTTCCCTAGACAGTATGACTGCTTTAGGATCACGGATGAGGATGCCCAGCTCCTAAACAGACCCTTCTCGGAATTGGAAATCTGGGAGAGCATTGCGGATTGTGATGGTGGGAAAGCCCCAGGCCCGGATGGGTTCACATGGGAGTTTTATAAAAAGACTTGGAACCTTATTAAACCAGAAATCATGCTTGCTTTTGGTGACTTTTTTAACTCAGGATATCTGCCGTTTTGTGCTTCTCACTCTTTCATATGCTTAGTACCCAAGAAAGATTCTGTGGACGACATCAAGGATCTGCGCCCTATAAGCCTAATGGGTAGCTTTAATAAGCTTGTTAGCAAGGTTCTGGCTAGAAGACTTGGATCTGTTCTACCTCATATTGTCACTAAGAATCAGCATGCGTCAGTCAGAGGCAGGCAGATTGGGGAGGCTGGATTAATTGCCTTTGAGCTGTTGGATAGCAGGAAAAAGAGCAGGAAGCCAGGTTTAATGTTTAAGTTGGATATTGAAAAGGCTTTTGACTATGTTAACTGGAATTGTTTGTTCCTCATTTTGTCTCGTATGGGTTTCTCAGAACAGTGGCTGAAATGGATCAAGGGCACGATGTGCTGCCCAAAAATATCTGTTCTTATAAATGGAGAGTCGAAAGGTTACTTTGGCACCGAGAAGGGTTTGCGTCAAGGTGATCCCTTGTCTCCTGGTCTTTTCACTTTGATAATGGATATCTTATCCTTTATGATCAGTAAGGCTCGGGACAGTGGAAAAATTTCTGGCTTTTTCATGGATGAGGAGAGTGGGGGTGGGGAGGTTACTCATCTTCTTTTTGCGGATGACACTCTGATCTTCTGCGATGCTGATTTTGGACAAGTTAGAAGCATCATCGCCACTCTGGTTTGTTTTCAAGCTGTCACAGGATTGAGAATTAACCTGGATAAGTCTGTTATGTACACTGTTGGCGACGTGCCCAATCCTGATTTCTTGGCCTCAGTCTTTGGATGTAATTGGAGTGGAGACGCTTCGAAGTATTTGGGTTTTCCTCTTGGATCCAAACCAAATTCGGCTTCGGTGTGGGATTCAATGGTGGACAAGTACCAAAAGAGGCTGGAGGGTTGGAAAGGCAGATTTCTTTCCATGGGAGGCAGATTGACTCTTAACAAGGCTGTGCTTTCAAGTCAAACTGTGTATTATTTCTCCCTCTTTCGTGCTCCATCTAAGGTGATCAAAAGGCTTGAAGGAATTCAAAGAAGATTTATTTGGAGTGGTACAGGGGAATGTCGGAAGATTCCTCTTGTGGGTTGGGATATTTGCAAAGCTTCTGTTACTCAAGGGGGTTTGGGTATTACGGATCTCGATTCTTTCAACAGCGCTATGCTAGGGAAGTGGTTGTGGCGTTTTGCTACTGAAAGAGGAAGTTGGTGGAGGGAGCTGATTTCAAACAAGTATCCTAATCATCTTTCGGACTGGCATACAGGGAGAAGCAGACAGGGTTTTTCTGGTTCGGTGTGGGCTAACATATCCAAGGGATATGATAGCTTCTGGCAGATGGCGAATATTGATCCCGGTAATGGCGATTGGGTGTCTTTCTGGCATGACAGCTGGATTCCTGAAGTGGTGCTTGCTGACTCCTTCCCTAGAGTGGCCGCAGCCTCAAGTTCTCAGACTGCCTCGGTCTCAAACGCCATGATCCTCTCTGGTGAGAATGTTGTGTGGCATGTTCCTTTAAATTTCAATCTTAGAGGGGGGGCTGAAAGGGAGAGAGTTAATTTGATGAATTTGCTTAACATGGTTGGTTCCAGGCGGGTGACCAGCGGGCCCTCTAGGCCAGTCTGGTTACCCAATCAGGAAAACTCTTTTTCTGTTCGATCTATGTACGGGACTCTAGCTGACGAGAAGTTCAAGGGAGTGGTGGATTTTCCTGCTGATTCTGTTTGGCGGCAGATCGTCCCGACAAAGGTCTGCGCGTTTATGTGGCTTGTGGCTCACAAGCGCATTCTGACTTTGGATAATCTCCAAAAAAGAGGATGGCAACTTGCGAATAGGTGCGAGCTATGCGGAGAGAAGGAGGAGAGCATTGATCACATCCTGACCCAGTGTGGTTTTGTTGCGGAAATATGGTCAAGAATGCAGAGGGTCTGTGGGGTTTTGGATCTTCCCAGGGGTGATATTCTCACTTCTATTCGAAGATGGCCTGTGGTTGCGGATGACAGTGCGGAAAGTTGGGTTCGGTTTGGTGCTCTCCACGCTGTGTGTTGGCAAGTTTGGCTCGAAAGGAACAGGAGGATTTTTGAAGGCACCAGGCTGAACACAAGAGGAATATCACGGAAGGCAGTTAGGGAGACGCTGGATTGGGCTATTGCTTGCGGAAAGGTGGATAAAGGCCAAGGTCTGAGTTGGTTGGAAGGGCGGCATCATCTTCTTTAGTGGGAAGGCTGTGTGTTGGAGCCTTGCCGATCTCTTCGTTTTTTCATTTCCCTTTCTTCTTCTTTCTTTTTTTCGAGGCGTAGAGTCTTTTGGGGGTGCTCTGCCTGCTCCTTTTTTATTTTCTTCTTCCCTGTGTGCTGGTTGTTGTGTGTGCAGGGAGTGTTTTGTTTCTGTTTCTGTTTTTGTTTTACACACTTTGGGAGTGGTTTGGTCCACTTTTTAGTGTGGTTTTTCTGGTTTGTTTGTTGGCCGTTGGTGGCTGTTTGCTTGGGTTTCCTTTTTCCTTTTCGGGCTTGGCTTAACAGGCGCCAGGCTTAGTTCAGTCCTCCTGAACTTCTTGCTGCCTCTGTTTCGCCTTGCTCCTTCTGTGTTTTTCTCTTTTCGTTAATGAAAGTTAAATCACCATTATCAAAAAAAAAAAAAAAATAACTCATAATCAGTTCAGTTAATTATGATTTAAGTCAGGAGCTTCAGTTCTTGATTCCGCACAACATATTCGTTAGCTAGATCAGTTAGATGACGAGATTGACAGACTCTTGTACATGAAAGGAGAAGATCTGATCATTGGCCACTTTCCTCTGTTATTAATGTTTCTGCAAGTTCCAATCTAACAGCTCAAGCTCTCTCTCTCTCTCTCTCTCTCAATCCTGTTTTCCAACATCACGTCACAATTAGGAATGGCAATGGGGCAGGTCCGGGGCGGGTTTCTTGGTACCCAGACCCGTCCCGTGGCAGGTCGGGTCCAGGTCGGGTAATTGATCACGGGTCGCGGGTCGGGGCAGGTCGACCCAATGGGTATGCAATTTATATGAAAACATTAGAAATATTCGTTATTTCTATTATAAGACTAAGAAAACAAACAATATTGTGACAATTGTAGTTAATTTATTGGAGAAATTGAGGTTTTTACTAATTTACAACTTTATTATCGCTAAAATATGATGCAATAAAAGGAAAATTCTAAGTAATTTGACTAAGATTACATGTAATTTAGACAAGAACGGGTCGAGAATGGGGCGGGTCAGGGCAGGTCGGGTCGATGAGACTACCCATACCCGGCCCGCCCCGCCTACGGGGCGGGTCGGACCCGCCCCAAAACAGGTCGGGTAAAACGGGTCAGGTCGAAATTGCCATCCCTAGTCACAATTCTACTCCATGCACAATTAATTCCAGCTCTTGTCATATGGACAATTAATTCCAAGAGTGGGAAATGAAGTCTCCATCCTCGTCAGTGAAGCAAATAAAGACAATAACGGTCACTCCAAATAAACAGAACGATTTTTAAAGGCAGTTACTTCTTGTGGGTTGTGGCTATAAATATGAGGTGAAGATAACAAAGAGAGGGTTCGCCAAAACCACACTAAACAACACAATGTCAACTTTTATTGCTTTATCTTCTCCTCTACAAATTTAGCCATAGACCATAGTAGTAGATCTAGAACTCTCGCTGGACCTCCATAAGAGTAGAGTTAATATAATTTAGTTTTGTCTCGTAGTTCATCGTAAACATCGAACACCCTTATTTGAGATTTGTTCAAAGAGACATAAACCGTGTTTGTTTAGAAATCAAAGTGCAAATCGATTTCGTTCCACCCTAATTTTCTCGCCAGAAAAAGAAAACAATAATTGTGCCTGTATGCAATAAAATAACTGGAACCGTCATCGTATCAACGTTGGTGTCGATGAGGATCCATGCATTAGATTTAGCCCCGTCGACCGTTTCCTATGTATGGAATTTAAGTACAAGTACCGGAAGGAAGAGTAGGTACATATATCCACGAATAGTACTAATGAACAAATACAGCACAGCACAGAGGGCAGAGCACACCCACCATTTTGTACTTTGCATTGGTATACTCTGCTTTCATCCTTTATATATCAAAAGAAGAAGAAAAGAATTGCACATATGGCGGTTGCTTGCCGCCCCACCTCCAGTATTTATAATTTAATCGCTCTTTTCCTCCTTCCACAACAGAACCAGTATAGTAGCTAGCAGCAACAACGTAAATCTCTAAGCTAATAATGGCTTCTTCTTCTTCTTCTTCTTCTTGGGTGTCGGCAACTTTTCCAGTTCCCATGAAACATCGTAATCAGAGGTCAGGTCGGATTAACAGTCAAGGTTGGGTCAGGGCGCCGATCAACCGGTGCAGCTGGAACAGGGGAAAACAGAGCAACAGCAGCAGCAGGTTGCGTGGTTTGTCGGCGGAAGCGGCAATTAACGAAACTAGTTCGAATATTACTAGTAAAAGATCATCATCTTCTTCTTCTTCTTCTTCCAAGGAAGGCAGATTAGCGAGGAAGGAAACAGAGAGGTTGGCTTACCTGGTGGCTGCCATGTTGTCCAGCGTTGGCATCACTTCGATGGCCGCCATAGCTGTCTTCTCCAGATTCTCTTGGCAATTGGAGGTTAATTTACTTACTTAATTAATCGCAATGCTAGTTACTTGAAAAAAAATTAAGTCAATTGATAAAATAGTGTTTGACAAGGTAAAAATCTGTTGGGTAATGAATGGATGGATGCAGGGTGGGGAGTTTCCAGTGGTGGAAATGTTTGGGACCTTCGCCTTGTCCGTCGGAGCCGCTGTAAGTGAACCATAATTAAAATAATACCCACACTTGATTAGAAACTAATTATGATCGTCTCGTTGTTGGATTAATCGAAGTATTGAACAGGTGGGGATGGAGTTTTGGGCTCGGTGGGCACACAGAGCATTGTGGCACGATTCTTGGTGGCACATCCACGAGGTTATTTAGTTACCTTCGTGCTTCGTGTTTCTTTGGTTTCCATGTTTTCTACTAAAAAGTATAGATGACAGAGAAGCGGTGTCGTTTTTTTTGGATCAGTCGCATCACAGGGCCAGAAGAGAAGGAGCATTCGAGGCGAATGATGTGTTTGCAATAACGAATGCGGTGCCTGCCATTGCCTTGCTCTCCTATGGTTTCTTCAACAAAGGCATTTTCCCTGGTCTCTGCTTCGGCACCGTAAGTGTAAACTATATCGAGTTCCTTTTTAAAAAAAAAAATTAAAGACGCACGGTGGAGGAACAAAAAGGCGAAATTTGAGTTGAACACTCCGTTGTGGCTGCCACGTGTGTCGGTGGATGTGGTATCCACTGGGCCCGACTGACGTGGCCTCACGATAGCAACTAGAATCTTTTATCTTGTTTTCTGGAATAATAATAAAAAAAAAAGAATCTTGGGCCTGGGCCGTGATCTTTGTTGGGTTTGGCGGGATGCAGGGATTGGGGATAACGGTGTTTGGGATGGCGTACATGTTTGTGCACGATGGGCTGGTCCATCGGCGCTTCCCCGTTGGGCCCATTGCCAACGTCCATTACCTCCAAACAGTTGCAGCAGCTCACCAGGTAAGTAAGTAAAAATTCCCCACCAAAAAACAAAAAAAATCTTTGTCATATGCTCTTGTTGTTTTAGTTTTTACCATGGTCCATGACACCGTATCGGAGGTCGTATCGGAAAAGTCAGTGATAGCGTATTTTATAGCAGAATCATGGTTTAACTGTAGTTCAACCGTTAGTACAGTTAAATATCGCCTATTGATTTACCCTCCGATACTAATATTTTGTGGTTGAACCATCGATACGATACGGTTTCATGGAAGCTGCCTAGTGCATCCGCTAAACTTACTCACTCTGATTTTGGCCCATTAATTATTTTTCCGAACAGCTTCACCATGCGGACAAATTCGATGGCGTTCCTTATGGGTTGTTCTTAGGGCCTCAGGTCAGCCCAACACACACCCTTCGCTCTACCTGAATTACTCTTTTCCTTGCTTTTAAGTTTTAACCTACAGAGAGGCTAGAGCTTTCTTGGTTTTTAGGTCTAACCGGATCTGGTTATACGCAGGAAGTAGCTGAGGTTGGAGGCACGGATGAGTTGGAGAAGGAAGTCCAAAGAAGAATTAACCGCTCCATTTGATTAATTTCTTCTCCACTGAAATTACACTTTCTATCTCCCTTTTTCAGTTTTTCCTTCCATTCATTCTTTCGTTTACTTTGAGTTCAATTCTACTAAATTTTTACTTTTTTAGGCTTGGTGATTCGTTCAATCTCAATATAAAGCTAGCCAGAGAAGGAAATTGTAAATAGAAGTGTGTTCTTCCTCGCATCTGGAAGTATATGGGGATTATAAATGGGCATATGCAGTGGGTAGCTAGGATTCTAGTTTAGTGAGATTTTATTTACAAAAAATCTTATAACATTGTATTAAATTGTCAAGTAAATTTTTTTAAAAATATTCAATCAATTAGTCATTCATCAAACCATTAATTATCAGATTTGTACCTTACATTTTATGTAACTCATAATTGAAAAGTGACATTTCAATAACTAGCTAAAATAAATAGTTTGCCAAGCAAAATCTAATACACACAAATGTTTATAAAACTGAATGGTTAAAGGTCGTCCTAAAAATTACTAATCATCGTCCTAACTTAATATGTAATTTACCAAATCGCCCATTTTGAATTTCAAAATCAAACAAAAAACAAACAACTCCTCCCCTTCCATAAATCTAAAAAAATATATAAACCAAAATTCAACAAATTATCTTATGGACCGAATCATAAATCGTAGTAAAAAGAATAGAAAATTATTGATATAAACCAAACAAATCCAAAAAAATCCAAAACCCCTCAACCGAAGCCAATTTTCGGTTGTACCATGGCTCAACCTAAGACAATTTTTGGTTGTACCATGGACCAACCGAAAATCACCTTCGGTTGCACCATGGCTCAACCGAAAATCATCTTCGGTTGCACCATGGCTCAACCGAAGCCAATTTTCGGTTGGTCCATGGTACAATCGAAAATTGCCTTAGGTTGAGCCATGGTACAACCAAAAATTGGCTTCGGTTGAGGGGTTTTGGAATTTTTTTTGTAAAAAACCTCGTCGGAGTCGCTACTCATGATTCGGACGTATTCTCAACGATTACGACTCGAAAATGTCAACGATGAATTCGTGAGTGTGGGAAATTGAGTGTTTTCATTTTTTTTAGTTAAAGTGATGTTTGTTTGCTAAAAATGCCAAAAGGTTAAAAGTGTAACTTTGTTATTTTTTAGGACGATCAATAGTAATTTTAAGGACGACCTTTGTCAATTCCCTTATAAAACACATTTCACGACAAAGAAATTGTATATTGAGAAGAAAAAATTGTTGAACTAATACCTTTTTAGATATAGCTGGAGGTTTTTGTACACATATTTAGTAGAATTAAATTTTTTTAAAATTAAGACTATAAAATTGTGGATTTTCAATTATATATGACCAATATAGTTTAATTTATTTGTGTGCTTCATAATACTAGGACAATAAAATTCCATATGAAAAGAGTCTTGAATTCTAAATTTAAATCTACCCAAATTAAATAAGTATGTACATACATATAACCATTTTAATTTATCAAGTGGGGTCGTACTTTCACCTCCCTCCCTCATTGGGCACATGGGGAAGGAGACGAGGAATCCAATTTGAATGCAATAGAGGTGCGGACCGACCATTCTCAATTTGTCAACGAAATCCTTTGACAAATAAATGGCGTACATATAGGATGCTCTGCCAATCCCAAGAGGGTCGGGAGAGAACCGATGTTGTAAGGGACGACCCATTTAGAAAATATTTGCAATTATAAACGTGAGCGAGAAGGAAATATCAGGAGTGGGACATCTCTATTTTTTAATTGAGTTTTTAATTTTTTTATAGAAACTGTGACGATCATGAATAAGATTCAATTAAGAACTAAGAAGTTTACTAAAAATTAAGACCTACTTGTTTTGTTGATGACCAATACAAATATATACTTCAAAATTTTCTCTTTTTCATATTAGCACATTAAAAAAAATCTGGAATTGGAACGTCAATGGTGTGTGAGTGGAGAAATTTTTGCAGGTGGATACATACAAATACAATACAACTGTGAATGTGGGTGTATGAGCTGGGTTCATGATTAATGACATGCAACTGTCGAATGATTATCAAAGTATTACCCATTTATATCACATGGCCCCTTTCGTTACAGCAGATTGATTTTGGTATAAAACAAACAGATACACGTGCAAGACACGGGACTGGTCTTTATTTGGTACTTCTGTTCTTTCCCACGTATTTGGGTTTTTTTATCTCCTCCTATATCCTTCTTCATCAATCACTGAACTAAAGACCTAACTTTTATGTATGTCACACACAAATTAAGTGGTCCAAAAAATGACATGCACATATATAAAATGTAATAGTACTTTCGTGGTATATACTAATTTGTATTACAGTCATCGAGTTAACTTGATACGATTTCTCGAATTTTGTATATCAAACTATAAAAAATTCGACTCTTTAATACTTTTCAAGAGGATAAAGATTTAGCTTTTTCACTCTGATTCTGACTCCACTATTGAAATTAATTATACTCTTTTCTGTTATTTTTGTTTATAACAAAAAAATTCATTTCTATTGTTTCAAGTGCCGAACACAACAAACCAAAGTTAAAACGGTATAAAGAAAATAAGAATATGAGCCTAGCTATGTTTGGATAAATGCCATTAGAAAGGGGAGGAGGATATGGTGCAAAGATAGAATATGTGAATCTGGGTTGGGCCCAGGTCCAGCCCGTAAATTGAGTCCAGAAATCCCAGGCTTCCCAAATCCAGCCGGCCTGCTTGCTTTAACACCTAAGCAACCGCCTGCCCTCCGCCGTGCCGTTTCCTCTTTCCGATTCATCCACAACAAACACCAATTCGCCTTCTTCCTTCTCGTTCTCATTTCTCAAGCTCTGGGTTCCTTCGTACTGCTTTGGAGGTGCATAATTGTCTCTATTCCAGTCTCGAGTTCAATTCTTGTTGGTAGCCGAAAATAATCAGCAGTCGGCATATGAAGAAAGAGACCGTACCAACACCGCCGGAGCCACCAACGACGAGAACGAACTTGGAGGAAGAAGGATATGTGGTTGCGGAATCAGTAGAAGTTTTCCGAATTCAATCCTTCGATCAATTCTTCCTTCAAAGCACGAACTTTTGCTGCTGCTGCTGAGCCCCAGCCTGCTTTGAGATAAAAGGGTCGTGACTTGATATATAGAAGATGTCCATCAAGCTTAACCTATCTCCTTTCAAGCTCGACATTGATGAGCTCATCAACGAGTTTGTGGAGGTATATTTCTGACATGATTTGGCTTTTCTTAATTTCCTTTGATCACTGATTGAGACCTACCCAATGATGGAACCTTGCAGCATCAATCGACAAGCTTTCCGGACTGGAAGAAAATATGGGGTTTAAGGAAATTTTCATACATCTATGAGGCTGCTCCTACTACACATTTGGGTTTCTTCATGCAGTCATTATATGCCCATACAATTGGTGAGCTAAGTTTTCCCTTTTTCGGGAAAGGCTTTCTTTTGTTTCTGCTTCATAGTGCAAGATTCTTGATAGGTATGCTAGAGAACCTATTTTCAGTCCCTGAACCCCAAAACATCGAAAAGTTTCCAGTCATTATAAAGCACCCTGCGGCCTGCTGTCACCTGAAGTCTTTGTATTGAACCCCAAGACTTGACAGTCTATAATTTTTCCAAAAGCGTCCATGGATGTTTGCCCTTGTGAACTGAATTAAGGCTACTTACCCTCTTCGCAGAAGCTTTCTGAACTGGGTTTCAGTTTTCTGTTTGTCCTTGTAATTTGGCTCCGTGGTAACTAGATCCAGCCCAAACGCTTATTTGTGTCGACTTCTTCAGTATTTGCAAGGGGTATTGACATTTCTGTTTTTTCAAGCAGGGCATATGAATGACAGCGCCTCCTTTCCAAGAAAGCTAGGAGGCTTGTATTGCTTATACTGTCTATACGAGACTCAGCCATTTAAGCCTCCTTTCAAGATCTATCTCTCCCTTGGTATGGCTATATTGTCAAAGCAAAACTCTTTTTCATCTTTATTTTGCTTTCTATATCTCAGTTTGAATAATCCCACAGCAAATATGGTTTGTTTAGTATACTGTCCTTTTTTTTCTCTTCCTCCCGAAGGGGAACTAAAAACTTTGAAGAACCTCGTCGCTGAAGCCAAAGGGAACACTGTCAAAGCAGCGCCCGCTTTGATGCAAAGAATGCTGGAAAAGGATGTGTTCCTATTTGGGTTTTTGGATTTAGAAGAAGCTGCTAAAACAGTAGAAAAACTCGCGGAGCAGGATAATGAGATAGTGAAGTGTGCTGCTAAGAAGTAAAGCTTTTTGCTGCATCATAACCCTTTCCTTATACGAGTTTCATATTCATCTTCAGGGTCTGTTTTCTGTATATACCTGATTTTATAGTATTACTCTTTTCTGATTCACAGGTTATTTAAGGATACCAGGATGGAGCACTTCCTCCACTTAGACATGGTAATCAATGAAAACACTCACAAGGAATGCAACGTACAAAGGAATATATGGTGTTAAGAAAAACCAATTGTCCTTTCAATTGCAACTTGATTTTGAATCTCTTTTTCCCGGTGTTGCTGCACACTCAGGGAAGGGAACTGGGTCTAGAGGAGTTGAAGAAATTATCTACAGAATATGCAGAGTCGAAGCAGCGTGCAATTGAAGGTGGTTTACATATATTATATATGTTCTCTTTAGCTCTGTTACTTCTTTATGCAAGCGAGACGCTGAAAGCTCACCCGTATGTGTTCGTATCTGATTTATCTCTTCTTTAGAAGCCCGGAAGGTGGTAAATGTGCAAGACGTGGAGCATCTTGCAAATGCCAAGGAGCTGGTTGGTGACAAAGTGGAGAAGGCGGTAGAGAGCTGGGATGCCCAGAAGGATGAGTTCTACCATAAAACAGGAGTAAGACCCACTCAGGAACAGGCTCAACAAGAAGATGATTCTGACAATAGTGATGCTGAATATACTCACGAGCTTGAGCGAGAATTGCAGCTGTTTGACGAAAATTTGGATGAGCAGCAATGACAGTATTTAGCTGTGGGAGTAATCGACCAGTAATCAACAGGACTACAGGAGTGAGACCCACTCAGGAACAGGCTCAACAAGAAGATGATCCTGAAGATAATGATATTGAATATACTTGCGAGCTCGAGTGGGAAGGTGTTCGACAAAGATTTGGAGGAGAAATGAAGCAATGGCGGAACAAGGTTTTTACCATCGAAACTCAATGTCTCATTTTTATCTAATTCTTACATTGCACAGACTATCCCATATAGAGAAGTTTTATTCTGACATTGATGTCTCTCTAAGCTATAGATCTCCAAATGTATAGATCCCACAATTTACTAGTAGACAATACCCGCCATTTCAACGCTAAGTAGTTGTATATCTAGGCTATAGCACATGTTCAACGATAAATAGATATCTTCCATCAGTTTATAGCTCCACTTCGACCTCATGAAATCTCCCCTCTTCAGGCAAGTTGTCCAGGGTGAAAGCAATCAACCCAGAAGACGACTCATACTCGAAATCAACTGCATTCGAGTCCACGCTGCACTTCTTAGGCTTTGTCGAAGAGAAAGCTCCGAACTTTCCACACCCCTTCACTTCCATCCTCACTTTTCCAACTTCATAGTACTTCAGCCCCTGGATGGCTCCACCGCCATTGTACATTTCAATCAGCCCCAATGGCGCGAAGCTTACTTCTTGAGCCAAGATCTCGATAGGTGCAACGGTGAAGATCCGGAACTCGAGCACCTTAAGCGACACAGGGAGGGATGCATTGTACGGAAGGGTGGTGAGTTCGCCGGAGCTTTGACAGTAGACTGCACAGTTGCCACTCCAGTTCGAGCCCACTGATGCTTCTCTGATGAGATGAACATCTCGGCCTCGAATGGAGCCCGTAAGTGCCTCGTTCCTCGTTTGGTGGAACGTGTTCTTCCTCTCGGTGGTGTTCCATGCTGCTCCTTGGCAGTTGTAAACACCTAACACTCCTGAGAACTTGTTCATGTTCCATATCTTCAGCAAACTGACACCGTCGCGAGCTGGATCGGAGAACAAACAGTCCCTGGTGGGCCTGCCTGGCAGCAGAGCTCTGAGGATCGTCCCGTCAGGTAGAACCAGCTTCCTCAGCAGCTCGAAGTTGTGCTTTCCCGGCGCATCACTGAATCAGGAAGAACAGAGTAAACAAATCAACAAACAAGCTTGACATTTCCATTGATGAATTGGGGAGAAAGAAAGCTTTAAACTTACCTGACATAGATCGGACCGCCGCTGATAGCCCGAGCAGAGGCATGATACTCCGCCGCGGGATGCAAGGAATGGAACATATCCCAATCCGGTTGCATAATTTCACCCAAGAACACGCTGTTGTACGCCACCGCCGCTATGTGAATCGTGTGCGACACCGGATCCCGTGGGTAGAAATCGTCCGACGCCCTCACCACCGCTGTCTGCTTCGAGCTGATGAAACCCACACAAACAAAATCAAATTCAAACCCAAATTCCAACACAAGAACGAAAAACAGCTCTCTCTCGCTCTGAATTTGGAACTTACCAGTACAATGCGTCGGTGTTATGGCTCATACAAGCGATGCAGCCATTGTCAGGGAAATTCCTCGCTACCGAGGCATCAAGAGCTTGATGATACTGCCTTGTAAGCTCCACTCTTCCACCCAAACCTCCGCCGAGAGTTTCCAGTATGCACTGAACATCCACCTTCACACCGTCGATTCCTGCCGCCGCCAAATAGCTGTGGAGCTCGTTGTAGAACTTGTGCACACTCTTCGGATTCACGAGCCCTAACCCTTGAACCGCCATCACATCAGTCTTCCACGTCGGCTCATTCTCCACGACTCCCTTCGACACCATCGGATACTTCATCGCCGATTCGTACCCCTCCATCTCCTTCACCCCCGGCCGGACGCCACCCCAGTATCCGGTGATTGCGTGCCAGACGTAGACGAATTTCAATCCGTGCCTCTGTTTCGCGATGTTGACGATGCTCTTGATCCCTGCCGCCGGATCCTCCTGGTTCTGGAATTTAGGGTTTTCCTTGATTCCGGTCAATCTCATCAACGGCTGCTGTTGCTGCGAATCGGAGGTCTCTTTCTCCGGATCTCCGCTGACGGACTGCCATCCGTCGTCGATTATCACGAACTTCGGCGGCGTCCCGCCGCCGGCGAGGCTCTGGAGCCCGGCCTCGACGCCTTCCTGCGTCACGTCCTGGTAAAACGCGTCCCACGTGCACCACCCGAAGTAATCGACGATTCCGGGGAGCTTCTTCTCGTGACGGAGGCGGAACGTCTGGAGATGCGACCTAACGGCCGTCATCGCCTCCGTTATCGTGGCGAACGGATCCGTGCCGGCGTGAACGAACAGGGAGTGGGTAAACGACGACGCTTTGATGCTCTCGTCGCCGCTCTCCAAAACGAGCTCTAGCTCGTCGTTTTGGTTCCCCTGAAGGCAGGCTCTGAACGAGGCCTCGATCAGAGGGAGGAAGACGGTGTAGACGATCTGATTGACTCCATCTCCGCCGTCGGATGCGAGGTGGGACCCGCTCTTGGTCTCAACGAGCAGGAACTGCGTCTCCAACGGAATATCCCTCCCCTTCTCCCCCATCTTTTGAGCCATCCACCATAGCTTGAACCGGAAGCAGGACATGAACCGGACGTCACGGAGACGGCCTAACGGAACCACGTGGCGGCTGCTTTCTTCGTCGAGCATCGCTCCGACGAAAACTCCCGCCGCCGGGCCCGAGTCGGAGCTCGACGTCGCCACCACATTGTCCGGCACTCCGGCGAGAATGGCCCGGTCTTTGACGATTAGCTTCTTGTCGGAGATCCGAACCGCCGGTTTAATCGTCATTGTTTCGGATCTCGGTTTGTTATAATCGTTAGAGATACTGCGAGTTCCGAGATATGGAGGAAGGACCCAGAAATAGAAAAGCCGTTAGTCACTAGGAGAAAATAAAAACGAACGAATACCCTTTTCTCGGGAACCAAACAGGAAAAGGAAAAACAGAGGAAGTAAAGTACCAGAAGAAACAGAGAGCTTGGTGGTGCGAAGAAGAAGATTGCAGAAACGAATGGAGCGGGCAAACGGTGATCGGATTGAGATTGGACGGACGATTTGGGAGGTATTTATACTGAGAGAATTGAAGTTACCACTGTAACGAGAAATTGACAGGGTCGCCATTTTTTTTTTCTCCCTCTGGCCTTTGCGGTTAATCTGAATTGATCTGTTCTTATTCTCTCTTCCTCGTTGTGTTGTGTTGTGGTGAGCCTTTCTCTGCTTATCTGGTCTGCAGCTTTCAATTCTTCCAGTGGAGAAGTTGCGGTAGTCTTATCCAATGATGAATATCCACGTTGGATCCACGTTGCACTAATCCATTATTATGGAATCGTTCAAATAAAATAATTATGTTTGACTACCAACAAACGAAAAAGAAAATGCTGATTCCGACCTGATATGCTCACATGTATTTCGGTGTAAAAACTAAAAACGTTGAATATTATCCTGCATACAGCTTTGATGATGTGGTGTTTTTTTTTTTTTTTTGCCAAAAGATCGCTCGTATTATCGAGAAAACAGACAGATACAAAATAGTCACATAGCTGAAAACAGCCAAGAAACAAAATTGAACCCCACCAAAGAAGGGGACAACGAAAGGGCTTTTCTTGCCACCAAATGGGCAACCCTATTAGAGTCCCGACCCACAAAAATAACCCGAAACTCCTGGAACAAGTCACGCATACTTCGAATCTCCTCCAACAGCAGCCCTCCATGGACATCATCTACCTCACCCTCCCGGATCTTCCCCACGATCACTTGGGCGTCACCTGCAAAAATCATCGATTGGAAACCAAACGCCAAGCACCATCGAAGCGCATCCCGGAAGGCCAGTAGCTCCACAAGAGCCGGCTCCCAAATCCCCACATACAGTGCTGCCGATGCTGCCACCACCATGCCTGTGGGATCCTGAAGAGCCCAACCTCCCGCTCCATGTGAACCAGGCGCCGTAGCTCCATCCACGAACATGACGAACTCACCCAACGGAACATCCTGACGGCCTCTGATACCTGAGCCCCCTGAGTAACTACAAGCACCTTGGCCGGTAGTAATGCCATCCCACTCTGCAACCTGCAAACGAAATTGAGATAACAAGACCGGCACAATGTACTGAGTCAACTCAAAGACCACCCAGTTACGGGCCTTCCATATGCGCCAGAAAAGTGCTACAACATGCATCATGGCCCCCTGATCAAGCTCCCGCCACTCGAGTAACCTGCGCCAAAAGATCCCAACATTGCAAAGGGGAAAGCGATCGCGAATGGCCAGCAGCCCCGCCCCTTCCCACAATTCCACCGCTACTCGGCAACGGAAGAAGAGATGCTCAAGAGATTCCCCCTCCTCCCCGCAGACTGGACATGGCTCCAGTCCCCCTACCCCCCGAGTACTCAGTGCCTCACTAGTTGGCAAGACACCGCGAACCATCTGCCATACGAAATACCGCAACTTGGGAGGTATGGGAGCCCCCCAAACCCTTTTCCATAGACCACGATCCCACACCTGAACTTTCGCCTTCACCCTTAGCTCCTTATACCTCCGTAGCTCCACTGCTAAATGATAGCCAGACTTGACCGTATAGCGACCTGATTGCTCCCCATTCCAAACCATACGATCAGGCACCGGCGAAATAGGCAACGGAATAGCCAGAATAGCTCGGACAGTATCCTCCTCAAAGATCTGACGAAGGCAATCCACCCTCCAAACCCCTTGATTCGGGCAAATTAAAGACGCAACTGACCCCTCGACCCTAATGATCCCCGGACGAGGCGTCGGGGGAGATGGATGCAACGTTGGCACCCAATTGTCCTTTAGCACATCTATCGACTCACCCGAGCCAACTTGCCATCGCAAACCTTGGACCAGCAAATCACGTCCATGCAACACCCCCCGCCAGCCCCAAGAAGGTAAAGATCCAGCCTTGGCCACCAGAATAGAGGAGTTGGGAAAGTACTTACCCTTAAACACCCGAGCTAACAGAGAATTAGGCTCCTTCCAAATTCGCCACGCCACCTTTGCCAACAGAGCCTGATTAAACTCCTCAAAACGCCTAAAACCCAAACCTCCTTCATGTTTACTTAAGCACAACGATTTCCAAGAAACCCAATGAATCCGCCGCTCACCCTGTTTCACTCCCCACCAAAATCTAGCCAAATGTCTATCCAGCAAACGACACAGTGATAGAGGTAGAAGAAAGCAAGACATTACATAGATAGGCAAAGCATTAGCAACAGACTTAATAAGGACTTCCTTAGCAGCCCAAGATAAGCATCGCTGCTTCCACCCCTGTAGGCGTTGAATAACTCGCTCCTCAATATACCTAAAGGTATCATATTTAGAGCGTCCCACCAGGGATGGCAAACCCAAATACTGATCTGTAACACCAATGGCTCCCACTCCAAGCATACGCCCCATCTCTTCTCTATCCGCTGCTACAGTATTTCTGCTAAAACAAACCGCTGACTTAGATAGATTGACTTTTTGCCCACTAAGCTCCTCATACTGCTTCAGAACCCCAACAAGGTGCGCACATTCAGATCGTGAAGCTCGTAGGAACAAATACGAGTCATCCGCGAAGAATAAATGCGAGACAACAGGGCACCGGGGGCTAATCCGAAGACCAGTCAAAACACGATTCGAGATCGCCTGCTGAAGCAAAGCAGCGAAACCCTCAGTGCAGATAGCAAACAGTAGCGGAGATAAGGGATCACCCTGCCGAAGACCTCTCGTCGCACTAAAATACCCTGAAGGCTTTCCATTCATCAATACAGAAAACGTCGGAGAAGACACACACGCCCGTAGCCATTTGATCCATTGCGCACTGAAACCAAGTTTCTCAAGCAATGCGAATAAAAATGGCCATTCCACCCGATCGTATGCCTTCTCCATATCAACCTTAAAAGCCATGAATTTCTGTTTACCAACCCTCTTATTCTTCAGGTACTGCATAACCTCGTGTCCGATCAAGACATTATCCACAATCTGCCTACCACGAACAAAACCATTCTGCCCCGGGGACACAATAGACGGTAAGTAGCGGGCCAGCCGTTCCGCCAAAATTTTGGCTATGACTTTGTAGGAAAATTGACAAAGACTAATAGGACGTAGGTTCCGCATATGTTCAACTCTGTCAACCTTTGGAATAAGAACAAGCCAAGTATGATTACAATTCTTAAGGAGAGAGCTCGTAGCAAAAAAGTGAGCGACAGCCTCTATTACGTCCTGACCCACAATGTCCCAAAACTGTCGAAAGAATACACCAGTAAACCCATCCGATCCCGGGGCTTGCGTAGCACCTATCTGAAAGACACTACGTCGGATTTCCTCAGGGGACACTGCAGCAGTTAGTTTGGCGTTCATACGATCCGTCACTTTTCTTTCAATGGGTAACGCAGCTACTTTCTCCTGGATCACCTGGGGATCCAAACCGCTCGAGGTAAAGAGATCGCCATAGAAATCACATGCCACGTGCGCCATGTCATCCTCCGCTGTGACCCAGGTACCCGCAGGGTCATAAATACCCTGTATACGGTTATGGCGACGACGCGTTCTGGTGACATTATGGAAATAAGATGAATTCTGGTCACCCTCCTTTAACCATGACACCCTTGACTTCTGGCGCCAGTAGATCTCTTCATCAATCCAAGCTTCCCTCAATTGTTTGTCTAGAGCACGAAGTTTTTCCCAATCCACAACAGCAGCCCCTCGAACAGTCTCCCACTCACGTTGAAGGCTGCGAATCTTTCGCTCGGAATTAGTTTTCCCTAATTTGTTCCAATCATACAGCCTATGTCTTAACTTTTTAAGTTTACACCATAATCGGAACATAGGTGTACCCTCGAACGTCAGATTCCACACCTCCTGGACGATTTCCCTCACTTCAGGATTATTACCCCACCATTGATCAAACCGGAACAGCTGTTTCCCACGACGTTGGAGTTGTTCTGTGGCTAGTAAGAGGGCTCTATGATCCGATTCCTGATCAGAAAGATGATGCAATGCCGAATTAGGTAACTGATCCAACCAACCACTCGAAACCAAGGCTCGATCCAGTCGCTCTTGTACCACCCGTTGCGGATTACTTCTCCTATTTGACCAAGTGTAAGGAGAACCGATAAAACCCAAATCCTGGAGTCCCAAATCATCCACAAATTCACGAAAATTGAGTGAGTGAGAAGGGCGCCATGGGTTACCACCTTCCTTTTCACTTGATGCCAGGATCGAGTTAAAATCGCCAACAATCGCAAACGGTACACGCAAACGAGAGCAGTAGTTCTGAATGTACTGGAATTGAAGAGTTCTTTCCTGATAATCACAGCTCAAATAGACAAACACCACCACATAATCCGAATTATCTTTATTGAATTGAAAAGCGATAAAAAAAGACCGACTACAAAGAACTGAGACTGAAACCTCAGTGGACCAACCTATAGCTAGGCCGCCGGCAGTCTGGACGGCATCCACAAAGAAAGTACGAGAATTAGAAAAACCAAGACGCCTCATCTGGCGAGCAACTACACCAGCATTCGACATAGTTTCCGAAAGACAAATAACATCTGGCAAAAAACTAAATTTTAAAGACTCTAACTGCCGAATTGTCGTGGCCGGTCCAATGCCGCGACAATTCCAAAACATTAACTTCATTTATCCTCTTGGGGCCACTCCCGGCTGGCTTCCTCCACCGCATCTTCATTTCCATCTCCATCTAGCACTTCTTCACACTGATCCACCTCTTGCTCTTCCTCACCAAGGAGATCATCATTTTCCAGCCCCACATCCTGCAAAGCAGAATCATCAAAACATAATTTTTTAGGTGGCAGCGACTGGGGCTCCGGTTCTGTCATCATCTCTTGGTTGGACCTCTTCCTGTCAAACATCATCTCTTCCAGCTCACCAATCCCCATCTTGAATCCGGGTTTAGGGCGCAGCGGATGTGATTTGCCAGCACGTCTTGTTCTAGTTTTCGAAGAAACCGAGTCACGGACAGCGGGGGCAGCCTTTGCAGGTTGGGGAGGCTGGGACATCGGCTCCTGAATAGAAATTCCAGAACTCTTTGCTCTTGGGCGGACTGCCCCAGCACTCTTCTTACCATCATCTACCACTTTCGCCTTCCCTTTCTCAGCCGCTGTGTAGCGGCGAGTTTGCTGTCCAGCACTATCACCTTGGGAAGGACGTCCATTTCGACCTTGGTTCTGGCCACCTACCGTGCTCTGCTCCCCACCAAGTCCAGCTGTC